GTGTCTGCCTAATCATCACTCCTGACTCGTGACTCGTGACTGGTGCCTGCTTGAACTCCGACTCTTGCCTCGTGCACTCCACTCCGACTCGTGACTTCTCAACTCGCGATTAAGCAGTCGCAGTCAAGAGTGTGAGTCATGAGTGTGAGTCTCGATCCTGTTCCAGGATTCACGTGACACGTGATTGTGGGACGCCATGCACCCTCTTGCATTATTGCGCCAGGAGCTCAGCTTACTGTTTTAGATGCGCGCTGCGCTGCACACGTCCAATCACGAATGTTGCGCCTATTTGCACCTCCAAAAGCCCAGACAGCATGCTGGGTGGGTAGTCATTCATGCACGGCAGCATCAGACATGCCCGCGCGTTCCGTGTTGAGTCAGTCGTGCCTCGCACGGGTCACGGCATGAGAATCGAGAATCTCATCCACAAAGAGGCGAGCTATTCAAGCGCGCTGTTGCCGCTCAAACGCCCGCGCTGTGTGTATGATTCAAGGCGCTGCATGCTGATCCACAACGGCATGCGGTGCAGCATTTGCACGTGGGGTGGTGTAACCCTACAGCATGCATCACATTCACATTCAAGATGAGCAGCACAGCGCAATCACGATTCAAATCAACATTAACATTCACGATTGAATCGCACCGGCCGGCTAAGGCTTGCATGCGAGTCAAGAGTGCCACCGCTTTTGCCGTTAGCGGTGTGTGGGTGCCGTGACTGGACTCGCAACTGTAGGTATGTGTGACTGTATGCATCCTGGCTTGACCTAATGTGGACGTAAATATTGATACTGGCGCGGGCCAAACATTTCACACGCTTCTCACCGCCATCCCACTCACACTCTCCCATCCACCGCGCTTAGACAGCCTGACCGCCACGCCCCAGACATCCATCCTCTCTTCAACGCGTGTGACTGTGATTTCAGCACGCTTCCACCGCTGCTCCTCTCTTCCCACACCAACATTGGCTCCGCACGAGTGTTGATCACCACTACACTGGCTCCATGAGTGCGTTGAAACGATCGCGGTCCAGGTCTGCGTCGCCAATCGGCCAACATCGTCCAGACAAGATGATGGCCAGATCTCGCGCCTCAAGTGCTGCTGATCACACTCGTCTCGACGATGCTGCCGTCACGTTGCATGAAATGGAAAGCGCTTCAGATCAAGCGACATCATCAGCCAAGCAGCAGGACAAGCAGGTCCTGGCCGGTGACGCAACACAAAGTGTCAATGCAAATGTCCTGGCCCACGCATCCTGTTCGGCTCGCAAATTCGACACCACATCGCGGTCAAGGCTGCTCAACCTGCCACCAGAGATCATCGAGCAGATCGCATACTTGTGCGCAGTGACGCAGGACGATGTGGCGCAGGTCAACGTACCGCAAGACGTAGCTGGCGGAGATGCGCTGGTCCAGATCGACACTAGCGCTGCTTCCTTGCCCTGGCACGCCCAACATCACCCATCGGCTACGCCACCTAGCCACCTGCTGGCATTTCTGCTGACTTGTCGACAGATCTACACACTGCTCCATCCTCCAGCTGCTCCACACCTCTACGCTCGCATCTTTCGAAATCGCTTCGACGTCGCAGCCATCGAGCGCAGATTTGGTCCAAAAGCCATCGCAGCGCGCAATCTCTGTGCCGAGCTGCAAAAGAGGTGCAGAATGTTGAAGCGCATCAGAGCAGCTGTGCTCGCAAATCAGCTCAAGCCGCTCGACGTAGCACCTTTGTTTGCGGAAGAGGAGATGACGGAGAACCTTTGGTTAGCGTACATGATGCTCGTAGAGAATGGTGAGTTGGATAAAGAAAACTTTCGGTTGCTGCTTCGAAGCGCAAAGCGTATCGGCGGCTGAATGTGTGCGACGTCGGCTCATCGTGACAGATGGGCTCAACATGGTCAGGCTCAAGTGGGCTCTGTTGGACGGCTACCTCCGCTTGCACGACAAGCAGATCATGCTCGAAGCACCCACCGAGCCGGTGTACCCTCCGGATACTTTGGATAGGTCTTTGGCCCTGCATGTAGCCTTTCTCTTCACCGACCCGCTCGACTTGGCCAAGGAATCCCGCGGCGTCAGCGACACCAAGCTCTTCGTATTGAGGCCTTTCGTCTTTGCTGCACATAAAGTACGTGCGAGCTGATCGAAGAAGGCTCGATCACCTTCGGAACGCTCACTGACCATGACTCATTCTCATTCAATTACGCAGTTCGATTCGTACGTCGCGCCTTGGACCGTCAGACGACTTCCATTGGCTTCTCAGGACGACCCTGCTCAGTCAGCTGCGACGGCAGCCAACGCTTCGCCGCCGCCCAATCCATTCCTCGCTGACCTGATTCCCAGGTCGAGGGAGACGGAGATCACACATTGCGGCATCAGAATGAAGCTGTTTCCACCCATCCTCTCCCACGCGGCCTGCTTCACTTTCTTTGCCAAGGTGGAGCGCGACCCGGCAGTCATTGGATTGACTCCGATCCAGGACCTGAACAACCCATCAGCTACGCGCGAAGACGTGCGAGCGAACAGGAATCCGCTTGCCTTCAGGTCCATCGATCACGACACAGACCTCTCCCGCCTGCTGGCTTGCTCCAACCCTTTTTCTGCCCCAGGCCTCAAGCCTCTTGCCCATGCTGGTCTCTTTGAAGGCGCATGGGAGGGCCGCTTCTGCTTCTTCGACTTTGACTCGTACCGCGAGATGCTTGCTGGTCGCATGCGAAGCCTATACGAGGGACCATTTGGGGAGCAGCCGCAAGTCTGGAGGATCCGCGAACATATTGTGCGAGTAGGATCAGGCGTCCGCAAGATCGGAGGGGAAGGCAGTGTTCTGAATGCTGGCTATCTAAATGGGGAGCCAGAGCCAGATGCCGTTCCTTCTGTGCCCTACTCCGAAGCTGTTGCTACCATCAACCCGAGCAGGCCTGCTCACAATGGCACGAGTCGCAACAATCGCTTCAACATCGAAACGGACAGTCGAACAGGGCAGATTACGAATGCAGGCGACTACGCTGAGCTTGCGAAGCGCGGGTTTGGTTCACTGGAAGATGCGCAGATGTATCCCTCGTTCGGCGATGATGAAGGCTGCCCGCCGGGCGATTCAGAGGCATACGAGATTCTTTTGAGTGGTACTGTGAGTTGTTTGTTTGTCCCTTTCGACTGAGAGAGGGTGACTTTTTGGCTTACTGGACTCCGCGCACTCGTGCTCCACGTCCCAGGGTCACTCGGCATGGGGTCGCTTCATTTTGCGTGGCCGCATAAGAAGTTGGGACGGCATGATGATCATGACCAAGGAGTATCGCCCAGACGGTCGAGGGCGATGGCTGTATCGAGGCTATGCCGTCGCTGGTGGCCGCCTCGTGGGCAGGTGGCGAGACACATTCACGCCCGAGAATATGAGCGGCTACGAAGGGTGAGTAGAATCCGTGTAGCTATATCGATACCACGCGTCGATGCTTTGCTGACCTGGCGCATGTTCGCCCTGCCTCAGATGCTTCCTGTTGAGCAGGCGCGATTCGGCGGCGTGATGCTGTTTGATTTGCGACACCTCGCTATGCGCCGGTCGCTTTGCATGTCGCCTGCTTCGCGCTTTCTACACACCCTCATGCTCGCGTCATCTGTCATCCTTCTCCACATTACATACCTCGCCATCACGCTTCTAATTCTCTTTTATCCGCACGCACTCGCAACAGCTTTGGAAAATGCGCCACGAGTCGTTGTGAGATTTTGGCTTTGAGAGCGTCTAGTGAGGAGTGCGGCTGGACGTATAGGTGCAACTCTACAATAGTCCGGCAAGGGCGTCCGAAGCTGCTTGCCTGGGCTTGTCTGATGCGGAAGCGGGTACAGGCTGAGAGGAGCTAGGGCGTTGGGAGGAAAAGTGATAATCGGCAAGCAAGTCGTCGAGGATGGACGCCTGGCTTGGTGCGGTGGAATTGGAGGAGACTCTGGCCGATTTGGAGGAAGAAGCTAGACCACCAAGAATTAGAGACCTGACTTGCGCGCCGCTCAGTGGCTCACTTGGCGCGGTTCTAGCGCTGCTGCCTTCGGGCGCGCCCACCTTGATGGCAGGAGCAATACACGTCGCGAGGTCAGTAGGATGTTCGCCTTGTATCCATGCTCAAAGCTTCGACTGGGACCCACCTTCTTATCACCTTGCTTCGGAGGTCCACCGAGCGCCGCAACGCCAAGCGAAGTCGACTTTGCAGATCCACTCGGGTTGTTGGCGATGCCGACGTGGGTCAGGACGTCACCTTTGGTGAGCATGCCTCTGACGCCCGTCCCCTTGACCTCTGATGCCTTCAGATGATGCTCGGCCAGCAAACGCGCAACGCTTGGAAAGATTCGCTCGCCGTGCTCCATGGATGCGTGGATCTGGGTCGACTGCTGCGAAGAGCTAGACGGTGATGGCGGTGGAGTCTTTTGAGGTGTTTTTGTCTCTACGGCACTGCTTCTTGAGCTTGAAGACGCGGCATCCGATTGCCCGATCGCTTCGCTCGACGTGGCTTGCGACGGTACCTCTACGTTGGAAATGTCATCACCTTGCTCTGCAAGCATGGCGATGATTCTGCCCACCTGCACATTCTTCTCTCCTTCGCCCACCACAATCTTTGCCATGACGCCATCCTCTGGCGCTTCAACATCCATCGTCGCCTTGTCCGTTTCCTGTGAAGTGCGTGCGTGTGTTGGGACATGTGTGGAGCGGGTGAGCTGATCTCATCACATCTAATTGGATGCCATAGGCATGACAGCCCTCGTGCTATGCTGACTGACAATCTCTAGCAAGACATCGCCCGCGTTGAAAGACTGGCCCTGCTTGACCTTCCAGGTGGCCAGTCCACCTTCGGTCATGGTGGGACTCATGGCAGGCATTGTGAATGGCGCAACGGCATTTCTGCTAGCGCTCGAGTGAAGCTCTGTGCGAGTGGTGCAAGTCAAGAGAGCAGAGTGGCGAACAGTGATTCATGTTCGCTTGCCTGTGCGGGTCGGAATGCGTGCAGCATGCGCTCACCTCTGCTTGCGTGCACTCTGGAGGCGGAGACGACGATGCGCGACACGCTGCTGGCTCTCGAAGCAAGCATGGCGGAGGGAAAGGCTGTTCTGTGCAGAGAGCAGGAGAAAGGGGGTTGAGTAGATGACTTTGGAGCGACGCAGATCGATTGGAGATGGATGCGGACTGTAATGTAGCACGAACCAATCTGTGCAGAGGCAGCATTCACACTGGTAAGTCGCAGTCGCAGTGGGTTGGAGGGAGCATGACAAGCTGATGAATCACCAATTGTGAATCAAAATTAAGCAGAGTCGCGACTCGCGAGTGAGATGCAAATGTCGCCGTGAGTGAAATGCAAACCGTCCGTCGCCTTTGGCCTTTCCCCCATCATTAACGCACGCACGCACGCACGCACACACGCACGCACGCACGCACGCACGCACACACCGAGCAGTCTCCGCTGCTGCTGCTGCAGTGTGAGTGACTCCCATCGCCTGCCTGTGTGGCTGATATGCTGCTGCAGTGTGAGTGACTCCCATCGCCTCTGCCTGTGTGGCTGATATGCTGCACTCGCCCGCGCGGCCGCATCCTCCGACATTCAAGATTTGATTCCAAATTCACGATTAATTGCCGTTTAATTTGGGGCGATGAGCCGCGGCATCGCGGATGAACCGCAACAATTATAACGCGCGCTTCTCATCAGTCACGTGTCAAATACGAGGACATGCAGTCAAGGGTGTCCGTGCGCCGGAGGAGTTGCCCTGATGCCCACTCACATTTCTTTGACCCGAGATCGATCGATCTCTCTCTCTCTGTCACACACACACACACGCACACGCACACGCACACGCACACGCACACGCACAC